GAGAGTTATCTAGTGAGTGTGATGGTGTGACCGCTATTGTGAGACATGTGCAAGTTTCTAAGTGACACTTATGAAACATATGTATGTATAAGGTCTTACATGCAACTACTTATTAGAACCTAAAATGAATATAGATACTCTGTGTTATGTACTAAAATCTGGCTATAAGAGCTTTAGCTCAAGACAATTAAGTCTTTGCATTTTTTCCAATGGAAGTTAATGTTGAGAATATAAGTCCAAGACCCACATTGGATAAAAATAAGATAGTATAGCAAGATATAAAGGTGAAGACCTATTAACCAACTGCCTTAAGGTTTTGAAGAGAGAGTCATGTAAATCTTTTATGTGGTTGAACTTAAGTTTCATTGATGTTGTATCTCTAGTGAATATCATCCTTTATAGACTTAACCGTTAAAAGACATTATGTGTATGGTTCCTTATCTTACAATATTTTATTTTAAAAGATTATATATTTTATTTTATTTTTTAAATGATGCGAGTGGTTGTTAGAAATATTTAATATCATTTAAAAATAACTAATTACAATAAAATCCTATTGTTGCTAATGTTTTAATACAATATTAATCTTAGAGATAAATACCATTTATGTATAAAGAGTTTTTCACATTTAAAAATTATTATTATTTTTTAAATTAGATTAATTATAATTGACCGGTAAGTTTTTCTTCTATCTATAAATATTACTTATTTGGATGGAGAAAAAAATACAGAAAATACATCAAGTCATAAAACATGTTTTCGGTCTTCTATATTATCTTTTAAGATATTGATATTCATAAAATTTAGAGATCATTCATTACATTCAGTCCATCTCATGGATTATTGTATCTTGAAAATAAGTATATATAATTTTATTTTGTCTTGTACAGTGAAATCGTTTTATCTATAAGGACAATATTGGATTCGAGTGTGAAATAGAGAACTAGAAAGAATGAGAGAGAAGAGAGAAAAAACACAGAGAGGAATTATCTGAATATTACGGTATTGAATTAATCATTGAAAACCAAGACAAGCTACAATATATATAGCCAATCCAAGTAAAAGCCAAAAGACCCGAACGTTCATAACCGAACGCTCAGAAGAGAAAGTTTGGCCACAAACGACCAGACATAAAACCGAACGGTTAACAACAAGAAACCGAACGGTCAAAAGTAAAAGCTGAGTCTAACTAACAGACAACATTATATGTACCTTAACCCATACTATTTCTACTTATTTTCTCATTTACTTTTATCTTGAAATATTTTGTTATAAAAATGGTTTAATTTGTTTTTATCCAAATCTCTGTCTTATTCTTATATAATTATTATTATTTATTTTGATTATTTTTCTAACACTTTATAACGTTGACCTAGTTTTAAATTAATAAAATTCAATTTAAATTAGGTTGGTATATATTATCAAATCCATCCATATTCCTAAATCTTTTTCAAAATATTTTATTTATTTTAATTTAATAATATATGTAGTTAAAAGAATTGGAGTTTGATCCTCCAAAATTTGAAAAGTATTTTAATTTTTTAAATCTAGAAAAAATAATTTTAGCTTTAAAGACTAAATCTGAAAAATAAAGTTATTTTACTCATTTAAATTGAGAACTAAAATCATACTTTCAAAACTTGATCACAAGTAAACTATTTTAGAAATCAAAATTAATTTGATTTTATATTTTAGGGACAAAAAATATAATTAAATCCTTATAAATTTTTTATGAGAAAGGTTATGAACACTAGTGCAAAAAAGACCTTTAACGTCACTCTTTAGACGTTTCACCCTCGAATATCCAACGTAAAAGATGATCGGTGGCATTTTTCATAAATAAAACAACTATTTAGACGTCGGCTATGGAGGGGCCCGACGTCTAAATACTCATATATGTCGACTACCTTGAATAGACGCCAAAACTAAACGAAAAAGTTAATAAAAAATAATTTTTTATTCTATTTAGACGTTTGTTATTAGGGGAACCGACGTCTAAACCCTAAACCTAGAAATTTAAAAAGTCACTGTTTGACTCCATTTAGACGTCCGATCCCGTCACTCCAACTTCTAAAGCACTTTAGACGCCTGTTAATTGGGGGAACCGACGTCTAAACCCTAAACCTAGAAATTTAAAAAGTCATTTTTTGACTCCATTTAGACGTCTAATCTCGCCATTCCGACTTCTAAAGCGCTTTAGACGTTTGTTAATTGGGAAAACCGACGTCTAAACCCTAAACCCAGAAATTTAAAAAGTCATTTTTCGACTCCATTTAGACGTCCGGTCCCGCCACTCCGACTTCTAAAGCACTTTAGACGTCTGTTTATTGGGGGAACCGACGTCTAAACCCTAAACCCAGAAATTTAAAATGTCACTTTTTGACTCCATTTAGACGTCTGATCCCGTCACTCTGACTTCTAAAGTCCTTTAGACGTTTGTTATTGGGGGAACCGACGTCTAAATTTCGGCATTAAAACACCGTAAACGCGAGACAGCCATTACGCGCACTCATTGTTCATCATCTTCGTCGCGTTTTCTCTCTACGGGTTACACTTTTCAGGTTCATTTTTTCACTTTTGAACCGTTTTAAATTAATTTTACTCAGATTACATCACTCTTTCATGCATATATTTCATTTGAACCGATTAAAATGCGTTTTCGTTGGGTTTTGGTGCAGTTATTCTTGTGTACTTGGGCGACGTTCTTTGACGGGGATTTCTTGCGTTTTGTACTCCTCCAATTCCCTCCACTACATTTTTAAAACCATCCAATAAAAAAATGTACAATACATTCTCTTCAACTAAAATATAAAGTTGTAAACTCGAATCACCATGAGTCAGGAGCAACCTCAGAGATGTCTGACCTATATGGATCAGACGTCTAACCTATATAGGTTCGACGTCTATAGAGACGTTTGACCTATATAAGTCCGATGTCTATAGAGACGTATGACCTAAAGGGTCCGACGTCTCATTAATGTCACCCATATAGACGTCAGACAGATATCATACGTTAAAAGCCTAAAATAACAGACGTCTAAAGTTCTTTCTGCACTAGTGGAAGCATCCTCTTTGGAATATATATTTTTTCGTTAATAAATGTTAACCAATAAATTAGTGTTAATTGAAGTGAGTTAGAAAATGTATATTCTAAACATTTCAACCAACATATATATTTTAATTAATATTTTATTTTTAAAAGTAGTAAATATAAATTAACTACTTTAATATTTAAATCATTTATATATTAAAAATTGAGTAATAAATTTTAAATTATATATTTTCTTAAATATCTAATTTTATTTTTATTTTTAGTTCTTTATTATTTATTAATGTTTACATATTCTTTGAATTAAAATGCTTAATAACTTAAAACGTATTTTTTTTCAAAGCATAAGTAAAACCAATAAACTTTTACAAAAATTAAGAAATTTTATTAATAACGTTAAAAGAAATAGGTATCATTCATTAAAATTTATACAACTTCNAAGACAATTTAATACACAATTGACTCCTTTGAATTTCATTATTTTTTGTTGGAACAAACCAAAATCCCCCACGTGCATTTACCATTGTTTAAGTTTAAGATTTAGGGTTTACAAAACTCAAAACCCTAAATCATAAATCACAAACCCATTTGGTTATACATCATCAAAAGAATAGATTATTTCAAAAATTACTTAAAGAAATTTACCATTGTTCTTAATAAAAAAAATAGTGGAAAAAGTATCTTTTACATTAGACCATCGTGTACAAAGGCAATATAAAAGACAAAGAATAAATGAATAAAAATACAATCACATACTAATGACTTGTAGTACTTGAACAAAATGAATGGACGCTGACAAGAACAAAGATTGTCATTGCGAACCCTTCAAACCTTGTGCTTATTGACAACACAACCTAAAAGGACAATTAGGTTTAGATAATAAGACAAAAGAAAATACTTTTTTAAATTAAAAAGGATAGAAGAACTCAAAGCATTTAATTTTTATAATAATCAACGTGAAAAAAAAAATAGAATGATGAGAGAGTCCGATGAAAGTTGTAAGTTCTGTAACCAATGGAAATTGGATTATCTCTCATTTGCCATGGTTGATGTGAGATAGGGTTCATGTGAGGAAGGTCTTAAGTGGGGATGAGTATATATATATATTGTCTGTCTCAATTCTCAGTTGACTTATTGTCTACATTTAAAAAACGAAAATTCCAAAAAAAATTGAAAAAACCAAACACTTTAAAATTTAAGCTAAAATTGTTATTTTACTTTAAAAGATATTTGGAAATTCAAAATTGGAGAAAAACACATTTTATATATAGCTTGAAGAGGTTAATGTTGTGTATGTTATAAAGACATGTCTATTTCTTATTTTATCCTACGTGAGACTTTGTTTGTATCCAACATCCACCCCTTAAACACATTGGTAAGATATTGTTTCCTTTGGGTCAAACTATAAACTCATGTTTATTTCTTATTCTATCTAATGCGGGACGTTGTTTATACCCAACACTTAAAGCTAGTCAGGTTTTATGTCTTTAAAATTCATCCCTTTATACACAATTTCTTTATTTTATCCATAATTGAACGTGAATAACCCAAAGTTAATCAGTTTTATACAAGTTAAAATATAAAAAATTAATTATTGATGGAAAAATCCAATACATTTATTAAAAAAACTAATTTTCGGTAAAAATAAATTTATATTTTTACTAAAGAAATTTCTTTTTTAACATTAATTAATAACATTTTTTTCTATCTCTTTTTTTATCCACATAAATCTGATGTTTATCTTCAACATTTACCATTTTAAACTCCAAAACCTATCATATATAAAGATCTTAATTACCACTAATTTATTTATTTAAATTTCAATTCCAAAACAAGTAATTTATATTAATAAAATGTATTAATTAAAAAGCTAGAGGGTGTTGTATATATAAAGGGGGTAAACTCAGTATTGTGTAGAGAATCTGTAACCATCCATAAGTCATACATAACATAGAAAAATACAAATTATTATGATCATTATTTGGCTGCTCTTCACTTTATATATAAAGAACGTTCCCTCCACAACATTATATCCTTCTCTGTATGATCCAAGTCAAAAGCCAATCTTCACACGAAAACTAAGATTTGAAACCATACAGCTACCATTTTCACAGGTTTGTTGCAGGAAGATTGATTCAACAATGATGCCAAAGGCTACATCTTACTCCACAAAGGATTTTCAAGCATCTCAAATGTTTCCTGTGAATGAATATTTGGCTTCATCTTCTGTTGAACTAAGTTCTTCCTCAACTTCACACTCTTCTACCTCCCTCCTCTGCTATCTCTCTCTTCTGAAGGACAAGCTAGGTCAGCTGCAGAACCTGGTTGATGTTCTTGTCACCCCTCGACATAACCTAACTCCCATGGCAATCTCCACCATGAACGCAACACTCGAAGAAATCATAGTGGCAGCCACATCAATGAGATTTACCTGTCAGCAAATGACTCTTGGTTCCTCTTCAGGTACTAGTATTGCTAATGAATTGCACCGAAACCAGAACCAGCAACAACTTGATCATGGTAGCGTATTATCACCTCATCATCCATCAAACTTTGGCAACAACAATAGGGGTATGCTTAGTATGAGTAGCATTAACATGAGCTCTTATATGATCAGAGGGCAAAGTAAATTCCTATCTGGTATAGAAGGAGGGGCACTGGATTGGTTTGGTGAAAGATACAACAATAACAATATTGGAGATTGTAACATTAAGGATGAAGAAGCCGACAGGAACATCATGAGAGAGAGTGATATAATCGAATTGGATGCTGCTGATTTGTTGGCCAAGTACTCTTATTTTTGCCAAGTGTGTGGGAAAGGGTTCAAACGTGATGCGAATTTGAGGATGCACATGAGGGCTCATGGGGAAGAGTACAAAACAAATGCAGCCTTGAGCAACCCAATGAAAAGCAGGGAGAGTTTATTGGGTGAGGGAAGTTCCAGCAAGAAATATTCATGCCCTCAAGAAGGGTGTAGGTGGAACCAGAAACATGCAAAGTTCCAGCCATTGAAGTCAATGATCTGTGCTAAAAACCATTACAAGAGGAGCCACTGCCCCAAGATGTACGTGTGCAATAGGTGCAACCAGAAGCAGTTTTCGGTGCTTTCTGATTTGAGGACACATGAGAAGCACTGTGGGGACGCCAAGTGGCAGTGCTCCTGTGGGACAACATTTTCTAGGAAAGACAAGCTTATGGGCCATGTTGCTTTGTTCGTGGGACACACCCCAGCTATTCATGGCTTCTCGACATATGTTCGATGATTCATCATCAAGAGCTGCTGATTAACTCTTCCAGTTTCAGTGTTAGTTCTCTATTTTCATGTAATATCATCGTAACATTTTGTATGAAAAATGGTTGTCATGAATACGCAGACATTATTCACTTCAAAAACTAACTAAAAATTATTTCTGAGTTCTTGTGCTAACATTTTCGTCTCTTGTTATTTTAGGTGCAGTAAGTTGGGGAGAGTGATCTCGAGCATGTTCACTGCACAAAAATTCGGTTCGGTTGCAAATTTTCTGCCATAGCATATCATTGTACAGATGTGGTATATATATATATATATATATATATATATATATATATATATATATATATATATATATAGCCAACATTACTCTAATTTTCATGACAATTTTTATTTGAAAGTCGTCGTAATCTATAATGACTTACCTGTAAAAAAAAGTTCAAACTATTATATTTTTATAAATTACGGATCAAACTATCTTTAAAAATTTGCTAATTTAATTAGTTAGTATTGAAAGGTGAATATCTCATGACTAAAGTAAATAAAGTTGTGTGTATGAATATGTGTATATGTATATAGATAATATATTTTTATGCGTTTGCACTGTTACTCTGATATATCTTCAATGAGACAGTTCTAAGAGCACATGCATGACTACATGTATTATATTTCCATATTTAGAACTAAGGCTAACCAGGCCAGCCCTGACCTAGGTAGGGGTACTTGGTATAGAAGGGACCTAGACTTAAACAATTAAATAGAGAGGCAAATTTAATTAATTAGTTTTTAATTTATTTATTTTTTTGCTTTGCAATAATCTGAATAACTTATGGTGTAAGTTTTCAAAATTACTTTTAAAATTTTCAATTTGATAGTATTTTCAAATTTTATTCATCTTCTTAATGATATAGTTATAATCCGAGTGACATATTTTTTTAATTTTTAATATTTAGTAAAATGTTTGATTATTGTCTTATTAACTATCACAATAATATCGAGGGTCAAAGTAATTTTGAGTTTTTTCTTTTCTTTTTTTTCTCAACTTCTGGTCTTTTATTTTCTTTTCTCTCGTTCTTTTTGTTCTCTTTTTTTTTTAATTTTTTATCTTTCATTTCTTTTTCTTTACTAATTTCCTTTTCTAATAGCTCCATATTTTTCTTTTCTTCCATCACAATGTGTCTTTTTTAATAATCATGAAGCATTCTCTCTATGGTGTCTTTGTGCTTTTTTTATTCACTTCTCATCAAAATTTTCATTCCATCACAATTTATGATATGCATTGAGTTAGATGTATAGTACGCATGGAGTTAGATATCAAAAATAAAATAAAAATATAGAAAGAAATTTAAAAGTAAAAAGAAGTATTACTTAATGTTAAGAATTGAAGCCATGGTAACTAATATTCATTCTCAGAACTAATATTGAAGTTACAAGAAAAAAAAAAACAAGTCATAAGTGATGGAGTTAATAATGACATGTTATTTCGATCTATTTGGTTTTAATAATATAACTCCAAAAAATTATCATAAAAAGGAAATTGAATCTTCTACCAAAATTGATGTATGTCTTCCTTATATTATAATGCATAAGACCAAAATTGATGTATGTCCTCGTTATGTTATAATGCATAAGATGATAAGACCATCTAAGTTGCATATTAATTATCAAGAAGTAATATTTATTTTACAATAATAATTAATTAACTTTCACTAATATCTAATTTTCATTTTTAATTTTAATTATATGAATAATTATTTTTTATCATTAATATTTATTAAAAATTAACTCTCACTGTTATGTTGTCTTTAGTTCTCATTATATGTATATTTTTTCCGTATTTAATAAAAAAAGTTAAAATTTATATATAAAAAAAGTTAAAATTACATTGAGTTTCAATATCATCATATCACATATAATTAAAAAGATCATAAGTAGCATAACAATATAATTATAATGAAATATTTCCGATATAAATAAAGTAAAATAAGGTGAAAATAGAATTGATGATAACAAATTGAATATAGAATAAGAATGTGTTACGTAGATATATAATAATAGGTTAGATAATATTGAAAATTTTATCTTCAATTATTTGGTTGAACAGAAAAAGAGGAGAGAAAAAATTTATACCAGAAATATTTATATATCAATAAAAAGTTACTCTCTTTTATTAAGAACTTATTATTATTCAATGTTTTTGGTATAATTTTATTTAAATTTAAAAAAAATACAAAATGCTAGAGTTTTTTTAACAAAAATAATAAAGATATAATAATTTCACACCTAAAGAAAAGTTATAACACTAAATTTCATGCTATTTTGTGAGTAAAGAATAAGTATTCAATTAATATACCTTATGTGATATGATATATTTTTAGGTTTTCATGTACATGTTAGTATGTAAGAAATATTAACAAATAAACTAAGTTTAGATTTAGTTTATTATTTATATTATCATAAATATCATACTATTTTCACATTTGCACTTCGTGTTTATGGGATATTTTGGACTCACAATAATAATAATATAAATTTGGGTCAAATAGCTACAAAACCTACTTATAAAATTTCTCATTTTCTTTTTTATCTCGTTTTTAAAATGAGTTTTTCTGTTTTTTATTCTTTTGTTAAAGACAAATTAATAATTTGGATTCCATCATAGTTTTATCTTCATTAATTTAATTTAAGAAAACAATGTGTTAAGTTGCTGTGTGTTTCTTTATTCAAAACTTTGATATAGGATTGATCTCAATGCTCATAGAGTACTCATGGAAGAAGTTAGAAATTATTTTCCAACAAAGTCTTCTCCATTAGACTCTTTTCAATGATCACTTTGTAACCTTCTAAACTAGTTTGGTATTTTTAGACTTCTTCTATTTATATTTTACGTATTTATTTAATAATTTGTTTTATTTATTTATAACTAAAATGAGTCGAGTGATTAAAATAAAATTTACTTTAACCTACAAGGTGTGGTAGGCTGAGTTCAATTATATTTAAAAAAAAGAGTAAAATGAACATATTTTCGAATAATTCAATAACTTGATTCAATTTAACAGCTTCTTCGTTGGACGCTTAAGTAGATTTTATTTTAAAAATTGAATATAAGTGTGTACAAAGTTAAAAAATATATATATCAAATTTAATTTTACTCGTCATAAATTTGAAAGTAAAAAAAAAAAAAACTTCAAAAAACTAGACCTTCTAACGTGTTTCTTAATTACATATATAAATAATCATAGCCGAAAAAGTATGCTCTTTTTAAGAAGCGCTAAACAAATGTTTTAAATAACTTTGTAAATTCAATTAAATAGAAATGTTACTCTTTTAATATATGTATAAAAATATGGTACATAACTTATTAGTTGGTATTGTTCAAACACTTCAACGTGAAATCCACATCAATAACTTTATCTCTTACAAGAACGTGGTATGTTAATAACTTTTGATAATAATTTGTGTCATTGTTTTATTAGTTTGTATATTTGAAATGAACCAATCACGAATTGTCACATAAACTGTTGAAAAAAAAATTATCAAAAAAAACAAAGGTTCACTTTTATAGCATAGTTCTTGAGTTCATCATTCTGAAGTCACCAAGTTTACGAATTCCAATGGTTAGTGTTACTTCATGTAATTGATATGAAACGAACCTTGTTTCATGTCTTAAATTTCAAGATTGTGTAGAACTAAGCTCTTTTCATCAAAATAGTATGAATACATGTAATCTTTCTTCAACTCTATTTACAATTAACGTGGAAATCAGTGTTTATTCGATTTCTGCATGAACGTAATCGACAAATTCAAAATTCTTTTGGAGCTGGTTTAGGGTAAAAGCTAAGGCAGCGCTGACAATTGCAAGTCCTGCCAAAAGAACACGAAACTGGACATCTGCTGGGATCCCTGATGTTGCACAAAACATAACTGTTGCACCAATTAGGACTTTCTGCCATAGTTGGAATCCCTCATAAGCTCCTTTACATGATGAACACTTCAGAGTATGCTGTTCAAATCTATCCATCATCTATACAACCAAAAAGAAAATGATTCATTTAGTCTTATTCCTGATTTTGTAGTTGGAGTGAATTTTATTGGAGAGTTAAAATGAGTGTTGTAATAGAGTGTTTTCTTAACATTTCTCATTGTTGAAACTGAGAATCTTGGATCATGTTTATTGTACCTCACGTTTGGATAAAACTGTTGATGGCAATGGCAGGTTGCTGATGTTGGCAAACCATTCTGGTTGGCCATTGCCATGTCGCCTCAGCCAATATCGAAATGCCAAGACAAAGCGATCTGCCTGTGTTGGTGTGAAGGTGATGCTGGTGTACTGTTTGTTAATGTCGCCTCCTTCCTTGGTTTGTGAAAGGAAGATTTTCTCTTGCCCTTGAAGAACTATCATGTCCCCATCATATACCTTGTTCGAAGTCCAATGCTCATACCATCTAGGAACTACCTGAGACATTGTAAAGCCAAAACTCAGATCTAAGTTACATTAAGCATTCATGAAATCGAATGCAGAAAACACGATTACTCAGAAGAGAACTATAGGGATACAGAAACAACATGGTAAGGTAAGTCGGAGTATGTCAACTTCTAATGTATCTGAAGCATGTAATAATATTGTAGGTTCTAAGAGGAAAGCTTAGGGTGTTTTTTCAGACACTGGAACCTTCTGCCTAACAAAGAAATGTTCAATAGTGTTCTTAGTTCAGGCGTACTTCAAAATAGACAAATTCTTTCACCTTTCCACGATGATTTAGAATTTGCTACAACATAAACATCAGGGCAGAACAAGTTGTCCAGATAAACCAGTAAAAGATCATTGAAATTAAGCAAACTGGAACATGTATTTTTAATCAAACAGAAGAAAATTGACAGCATAGGCCATAGAAATCTTACTTGCCACCAGGCAGGCCCTGGCACTGTGAACTGGAAGAAGTTTCGAGCACTGCAAACTATGGAGCGAGTCTTACCAGGTGCCATGGGAACATTGAAGGAACATATCCACACAACCCATTTCTGATCACCAACTACAGGGAGTTTGGTATCAATCTCAATCCTGCAATAATAATAATGCCAAGTGTATTGGGCTTCAGTAGCAACAATTGAAGAAGAGAGCAACAGCGCCTAGGATGAAAAGTAATAGTTATCTGAAATGCATCTTTAATATGCATATAAACACTTAAAAAAAAGATGCACTACTAAGGCATACATACCACCAACATCATTCACTCTTATATCAAATTGACTATCCTCAACAAGAACCTCACATACTACATAGTGAAGGTACGGTTAACTTAGCATTATATGTCTCACCTTAAACAGCAGATGATCTGTTAAGATTAATAAGAAGGTTATACATTTCAATATTACTTCCCAGTTATCCTTTAGAGAGTGAAAAAGGAAAGAAATTCGGAAAGGAAAAAAGATAAGATTTATGGGAACCCTCTGATACTGAATGATCTACTTATTGAGGAAGCTTTGGTGGATAAAACTTCATATTTCATTCAACAAGTATCGAGACAAGAAGCCTATGACTGAATGCGTGATACCCGAAAGTTATCCAAAATTATGGCCTTAAATTACAGTTGAGAACAAATCTTTTGGCCCTAAACACTCAGAATCCATATGTTTTCCTTCAGTGTTAACAATGGAACTAAATGCACACGAGAACAACGCAAAAGTCATTGGCTTACTTGTTCATATAATAACAAGGCGCAACAAATTTAGCACTGATTTTAGGGTTCCCTTCATTCGCTCCAGAAAAGCCCCATGAACCACGAGCATCCATCTTGAATGGCAGAGGCTTGGCTCTGTCCCTCCTTCCTGTGACCTGTAGAGTGTGGACCATATTTATGTTACTGATTAGGATAATCTTGAGTACCTATCAATACCAAACAATTTCTACTTCTGCAACTGCTTATCTAATAAGACTCTAAATTAAAAGTCCAGAGTAAGAAGCAATATTATGATAAATAAAAAAAGTTAATTACAGGGCCACAAATAGACAAAGCACATCTGCAAGCTTAAGAGATACATGATCAATTAATCCAACACTTGAAACATCAGGTAAAGTTTAAATTCCTATACAGTCACTTGGACAGTGAGAATATCTTCCTAATTAAATTCAAACAAACGTTCAAACCAAATTCTCACAAGGGAATATGAAGAAGGTTTCTCAAAGTTTTTAAAACATGATAATCATATGCCGGTTTCAGTGAGTGAAAATGTATAATAAAAGAAACCAACCCAAATTTTCTTCCTGCTAACACTTTCTGAGTATATTTAACAAACTCTACTTACACCAGGATCAAATAAAATACCTTCAATATGCACACCAAACTAAATTAAAATAGCCTGCACTTAAAACTCAAGTTGGAGGGTGTCATTTGTACCTTGTGATGAGCAAAATCAATGTGAGAAGGATCAGAGACATTCTCCATTAGAGTATCGTAACCATAGAACAGGTCACGCTGAATATTCACAGTGGCAAACTCCGGGTTTTCATAGTCATCAGGCAACCTAAACAAACAAATTTAGGATAAAATGTTCCAAAATCAACATCAAATAATAAACACAAGACAAAATCCATCATAAGGGGCCCAATTACAATTAATTTAATGTTACTACTCAGACAAGACAATACAAAATTAACTAAATTACATTGGAGGCTTGGAGGCACTTGCTTTCTCCCAACCATTTTCATCAGGCCAAACAAAGAGCAATCCCTGAGACACTAAAGTAGGGAACCTAGTGGCACACGCTTTAGGAGATCGAAGAGCACGTGCTTCTGGACCTTCAGATGCAGCCTGAGGAATCTTAACACAAGATCCACAACCATCAAAAGACCAGCCATGGTAAGAACACTGCAACTTCCCATCTTCATCAATCCTTCCTTCCTACAAAAACCAAACACCCAACTTTTTATCACAAAAACTAAAAGGAAACTAAAATATCCAAAAACTACATATAATAAGTCCCTCTAACTCCATTAGTTTTTGTTTGTGGTTGATTTATATTCGAAACTAAACTCCTAGATGTATTGGATATTCTACTTTATTTCGTTTATTAGGTCATCCCTAATCGAGTCATTATTAAACCACTTAATTTGCAAATTATACTCCTTCTAAATGTCCAGTACTTGGTATCAGAAAGATTCTACATTTATTAGTGATTTACCCAAATTATCATATATAAAATAGATTAAATAGAGCTTATACCCTCAAATAAAATAATACACACACACACACACACACATATATATATATATATATAGAGAGAGAGAGAGAGAGAGAGAGTTATACTCACAGATAAAGGGGCAAGACGATGGGGGCATTTGTCATCAAAAGCAACCCATTGGGAAGTGGACTTATCGTACCAGAGCACGATTTCACGACCCAGAAGCTGAAACGGTGTGGGTAAGAGAGGGTTCAGATCCTCAATTAACGAAACAGGGTACCAGTGATCCCTCCAGGTGAACTTAGAGGAAGAGCTCTCCTCGTTAAACTCTTCCTCAGTCTCCTCCTTTTCGGTTTCAGGGAACAACTGATCGGTTTCAGCCGTTGAGGGTGGCGCCGCAACGCGTGCAGGGGTAAGCAAAGGGCTTCTTCCGCTTCTGGGTCGAGTTTGTTTCGTGAAAAATTGCGTACCCTTGTTCGAGAAGAAGGGAAAGGAATTCACTTTATTGGTGGTGAGTTTGCTCACTGAGGAGGAAAGCGTGAGTGTGGTTGATAACGCAGAGATGGAGTGTGGGAGTGCCATCAATGGTTTTGTAGTTAATTTTTCTGAGACGTTAAGGTTCGAGGAATTGTACACAGAGGTTCAAGCGGGATATGTTAATAAGGGAATCGAAGACCAAGGTTTTTGAGTCGTGCAAGCTTCAAATGTTTCTTTCTTCAGCTCTTTCGGTTTCAGACAAAACACTGTTCAGATGTGTCATTCTCTGAGAACTTTAATTTTCTTAGTTTAGCTAATTAACTAAATTAGCGAGTGCTTACTGTAAAATTTACGAAGTAAAATAAAACTTGGAAAAGTTTTGCGTCGATGTCTGTTTCTAATTAGTATTTTGAGAAATTTTGTTGTTTTATTTTCCAGCGGAGGAAAAGAAGTGAAACCATTCGGAGGAATGATTCATGTCCACAAGTTTGAAGGGTATCTACCACGTGGGTGAATATTTGTTTGTAGAAGGGAAAAGAAGACACTGAAAACGGTGAAATCTGTCCGTGTTCATGTGTGTACTTGTTTCAAACAAGAAAGAAATTGAGAAAAAAAATTAAAAAATAAATTGATTCCATCATCTTGATTATTTTTCTATTCATAGTTTAATAGGGTTTATTAAAATTTGTTTAATTTAATCTGGTTTAAAATGATTTGGATTGAATTGCATTTTGAGTTTTGGTCTTATTTATATTTATTTTTAAAACATATTAAATAATAAATATATAGTAAGATACTATAATAAATGTAAAAATATTAATTATCTCGTTTAGAAAGGTTCTAATTTTTTGTTAAAAAAAATTCCACTATTTAAAATTAATATTTTTTAGTGTTCTCTTTTTTCAGTTATCACTGCTAATTACAGTTAATTTAGCATTCAAAATAGAAACAATCAGTCAAGGTAATAAAAATAATTAGATTTTTTTTAAGTTTAATATATAAGATAATCATGAAACAAACTGAAGTGAATGACCAAATATTTCTAACGCCAAATTGGAGGTAAAGAGTAAATAAATTAGAGTAATTGAAAGTTTTAAGGAATTAAAGTGCATCAGCTGAATTCCCCTTTCATTCTTAAAATCTTTTATCACATAGGCATTAATTTCTCCTCATTCCTGTTACTTTTCATACAGAAACAAAATGTATGAAACATGGCAAAGAATACAAACAAAAACAGTAACCTATTTCCCATTGGTAAGTGTTTCAGAAACAAGTATAGAATTCATCAACATCGATTCGTGAATCAGAGTTCTTTTAGGAACTTTTTGAAGATGCAAACAAAAAGCGTGTAAAGAACATGTTGGTTGGAGATTAATTTAGGGAAACAACAGCTTTTATTTAAATTTCACAAGAAATTTCAAAACAATAATTTTTTTTTTCAAGTAAACTGATCTAGAAAAGCAGTAATAAATTTTAGATATAAAAACAAAAAGTACAAAGCAAAAGAAGGGACTGCTTCTGTGGTTTGTTGTCCCGTTTGCTTTTACACTGTCCAACTTTGTTGCGTTGTTGAGTATTGCTCCTCCGCTTTTTGCATCATTTCATACTTGTTAACATTTGTATTTTATATTTTAGTTTATTATTTTTATTTAAAAAAAACTTCACATGTTTAATAAATTTTTAAAAAATATTTTATTTATTATTTAAATAATAATATATAAATTAAATTAATAATTATTATTTTATTAAATAAAATAAAATTAATTTATAAATAATTAAATAATAATTTTAAAAAAATTAAATAATATTTATATTAATTTAAAATATAAAAAATTAAAAAACTAAAAACTAAAAAAACAACAAATGTCATCACATTCGCTGATAGATGTGACACATTCGTTTTAATATATTTATAAAAAATATTTTAATTATTATTTAAATAATAATACATAAATTAAATTAATAATAATTATTTTATTAAATAAAATAAAATTAATTTATAAATAATTAAGTAATAATTTTAAAAAAATTAAATAATATTTATATATTAATTTAAAATATAATAAATTAAAAAACTAAAAATTGAAAAAAAAAAACTCAATGTATCACATCCGTTGAAGAATTTTTTTTTTAACAAATATTGACATCCGTTGAAGAAAAGAGATGAGGGCGTAGGATATTTTAAAATATAAAGAATAGCTTTAAAATTTAAAAAAAAGATTGTGGTGCAGGAAGCAAAGTGGGTGGTGTAGGGAATAACCCTCGGTGTTGTTTTGTCTCCTTTTAATTTGACTGTCAGAACAATGTTTGTCTTTGGTTGTTGTGACGTTCAAAGACATACGCACACAAGATTATCTATGGAAGTGGTTTTACACCATTAGAGAATTTTAGCAGATTTGTGGTCTTTCATAATTTGTCAAAACTATAACTAATGAATCAATTTTAATAATTAAACATTTATGAAAACCAAATAAAACTGAGTAGCGACACTTGAAGGATTAAAATGCACATAAATACATGTTTCTATAAAAATCAGAAAGCAATTTAAACATTTTCTTGACAAAGCTTTTAAGAAAAAAAAACATATATTACCAAAAAACTAAACTGAAACAAACTTGCCATAAACATAAAACTGTAGTCATTCGCCTGGATGAAGTTTTAAGGTACACACACAAAGCAAGAGCTTACTAAGCCAACCTTCAATCAAAACAAGGAGCAAAACTGTAAGTAGCAGCAAGTACTAGTTTATATGAATTCACACCGAATGAAGCTAACATAACATTTCAATAGGCATTTGCATAATAGTTACCCTATGTTCAGAAAACAATGCAAAGAGGACTTCAGAACACAAAACCTTTGAAAGAAACAACAGCTAATTACGTTGAGGATAAGACATCAGTTAAGCAAAAGAAAATCTGCAAACTCAAATCCAACCACAAGCTAAGCTTAGCCAAAAGTGCAAATTGCTAGAGCTTAAAGTTTTTACAATTATATGGTCACAAGATGAAGAAAACATATTACTGAGGATAGTAAATTGCATGTTTTTTCAGTCCTATCAAAAACGAAGACCAGCAAAGACATTAGAACAAGTGATTAAGACGAATCTCGTTTGGTCTTTAACTGAACTAAATGGTATCTTGTAATCCATATAACCAACCTAAACCAGCGAGACAAAAATGTTGTTGTTATTGTGGTCACAAAGGCATGCAACACTACATGTCTTTTTGGAAACAGAAGATACAGATACAAGTGACATGACAAATAACATCATTCATCTAATACATACAGATTGAGTGACCTCTTCCAGAAAAGAACTCCCATCCTCAAACTTTCTCAGTTCCAAGATTGTGCTTAAGAATCACAATTCACCAAACTGAGGTGAGAAAAAATCTCTCAAACAACGAGCATATATATGAATATGAGCTTGATCATCTAACTCAACTTGTTTCATTTCTTCTCAACATCAGGACCAACATCACGCGAGCCTGTGTTGATGTAAGGCCCTCGAAAAGTTGCTTGTGGTGGAAGTGGCTTTGTTGGATCAATAACAGGCTTCCTTGATGAACTGAGTAATAATAATAACTTTTAGACAATTCAGAAAAAAAATGATCATACATAGCACAGGTTTAGATGAACTTGTCCAGAAGAATTTGTAGAAGAGAAAATTATAAAAAAAAAAAACAAACGAAATTGACTTATCCGTAAATTAAAATTAGTTTATGCATAAGTTGAAAATAAAAAAAATTTAAAAAATTATAATGTAAGAGATTACCTCACCTTATGAATAATCTGATTTAACTGATGTAAAGTTAAATTTATTGACTTTTCAATAACTATATTTAAATAGAAAAATAGAAATGACACATTATTAAGTAATGAGGATAATGTGAACAAAAAACAATGAATTGTGTAAACTTACGCCATGTAGAAGGGAAATGACATGCCTGCTGCAGCGAAAGCAACCAAACCCGCAGCAACCATTAGATTGCGTGCTCGTGCCATCGATCAATCTGATACCAAATTGCTACAGAAAACCCTAAAAAGAATTTAGAAAGATGAAATCATATAGTAGATATATTTGATCAAAATTAGAATATGCAGGTATTAATCAAATAAATGAACTACCTCGGAACTCAACCGAATCTTTTTCTTTTTCCACAAATTTGTTGCAGTGCCAATCGAAACTTGCGAACCCTAACTACGGAGCAGATTTTCTCCTTCCTGAGTCTAAGTTTCACATTCAGTGAAAGTTTTGGTGAAGAATGAACCTGAGCGAATTACCTTTTTTTTTCTGGTCAACAATTAAAATGAGTATGGGCCTCAAAAGGCCTGCTATTCTCACTCCATTTTTTGCTCTTTTACCACCTATTTGTATAAAAGAAAAATGCTTATATTGGTACTGAACTTGTCAAAAAAAAATTTATAATTTTTTTTATTTCAATTAAGAATTATTTATGAAAAAGGATACTCGTCTATGTTTTAACATTTTTACTAAATTCGTAAAGAAAAATGTCCTACATAATTATCATTCATCTGACCTTTATCTAACCCTTCTCAATTTAAAGTTAAAGTTTTTTTTATTTTAAAAAACTTCAAAAACTATTTTATTTTTCATTAAGAAAGTTTATCTTTTTCAAATATTTATTTGATCTTGACGTCCTTATGAAGAAAAGTTCAGTACAAGTTCGATTAATTCTATCCAATTCATGCTATGTATTATAGTTCATATTGTTTACTTAAAGTGAGAACGTGTTTTAAAATAAGTTTAATATCTATTTTGATCCATCGGTTTATTAGATATGTTTAAATTGCTCTTACTTTTCTCAAAAGTTCACAAACGTTTCATAGTTTTGTAAAAAATGGTTCAAGTTAATCATTTTTACTTACTGCGTTAAAAAACTAACGACATAGTCACTCACCTGGCGACCACTAAATGAGTTGTCCAGTTTATTATTACGTGACACTCTGAGATGAATTGAGGTGTCAATTTTAAAAATATAACTTAATGAAGTGGATTACTATAGGTCAAGTGCTGGAGGCCACGGTTCTCACGGCCGGAAAGAAGTCGGTGGAGTGGAGCGATGCCACAGCGATTCACGTTGTGGAAGTGAGAGCCATCGGGCGCACCAACATTGTCCTCGGAGGAGTTGCTGCGGCAGGGCAATCAGCCGCCACCCTGAATGGTCGAACGCGTCGATCTCCTCCGCGCTCTGGAAGCTTCCCTAGCCTCCCCCTTCAACTTCGACCCTTTCTCTCCCAACCCTAACCCTCTCATCATTGTCATTAGCGGCCCTAGCAGCATCGGCAAAGACACCCTTATCACGTGCTTCTGCGAACCCACCACGGCCTCCACTTTGTCATCACCACCACATCACGCCCTCGTCGCCCCACCGAAGTCAACGACAAGGACTACCTCTTCGTCTCGAAGGAGGAGTTTCTCGGGATGGTGGAGTGGAAGGAGTTGCTCGAGTACTCGTCTACGGGCACTACAAGGGCGTCCCAAAGTGGCAAATTCGAGATGCCTTGCCAAGGACTACGACGTCGTTCTTAGGGTCGATATTTAGGGCATTGCAAGAGAGGAGATGAAGCATTTGAAGAATTTTGATTATGTTGTGGTGAATGCGAAGGGGAAGCTGGAGAATGCAGTGAAGTTGATGAAGTCTATTATTGATGCCGAGAAAGCTAGGGTTTCGCAATGAACTAGAAAGAATCTCTGTGAAACGTTTTCTTTTACTGATTTCATAAATTGTTCATTGTGGAAGATTTGTCATTGCTATTTTTAGGGAACAATTGTTCCCAATCTGCAACCTCAATCCTAGAATATTCATTCTTTCAAAAACTGGTTTGGACTTGAACTAAAAGATGCATTAACATGTCAACATTGATTCCACTATGCAGTTTGTGCTCATAATTGAATAATAATACGATATAATCCCAAGTGAAAAACTTCACTGTCCCTAATTTTTCTCACCAAAACTCCATTGCCTTTATTGTCATAATTCAATTTTCACGAGCCACAACCCCAATTTCAACATCAATTTCAGCAAATTCTTCAATCCCAAATCGCGAATTGATTTTAACCTAAAGGTAATGAAGGATAAGTTGTGAGGGAGGCTGCAATGTGGCTCGATATTCAGTGTGGCCGGTTAATGGTGACGAGGGTTAGAGTGATTGCAGAAGAAAGAAAAGTGTGATGAAGCTTCTAGTTTTTTGAGTGGGAAGAGGACTGCCATGTGGCAGTTTCTCACTGGCGGAGCTTGTCACGCTATGACTAACTGGACAAGTCATTCAGTTTTGGCCAAGAGAACAACTCTCCGTTAGCGTTTTTAACGCCGTAAGTAAAAAGGACCAACTTGAACTGTTTTTACAAAATATGGGATGTTAAGGAAAGTGGGATCAATTTGAACACACCTAACCAACCGAGGGATCAAAATAGATATTAAACCTTTAAAATATATTCAAAAGGTACAACGACCAGTAAAAAAATTCAAAACAAGTAGAACCTACCTCAAAATTTTAGTAAAACTAAGGATCTTAAGAGTGATTTATCTAAAATAATAGAATTTTTTTCTTGAATAATTTATGTTTTGAATAAAATAATACGTGAAAAGTTCAAATTTTAATTCGAAAAGAAAATCAGATATCGCCATTCATTCATTTCGTGAATTCAATATGATTGGATAAACTACGATTTAAAAGCTACAACGATATTTATTGGAAAACATATTTTGACAACTTATTTTTAGTAATATTATGAGATTGTCACATAGTTATTGGTTTAGTTTAGTTGTTTTTTAAAACTAAACAGCTGACATGGAGGGCTATTTTTTTTGCATAAGTCATTTTTACGGTTTCTTCAATTTCATTTTTCAAAACCTATTGTTAATCTGAAAACCTACTTCTCCAAACTTCTTTGGATTCCTTCATCGTCGTCAACTTGTTTAAGTTTAGGTTGAAGGTTTTTCAGTTGTATTTTTTGTTTTGTTGTTAGTCTTTGTGGTTATGAACACGAGCACGGCGACAATAATAGAAGAGTCCAGAAAAGTTTGGAAAAATAGGTTTTCGGATGAACAATAATTTTCGAAAAATAAAAATGAAGAAAATGCTAACTGTGTCACACATGATATTATTAAAAAGTTGTTAAATTATCATTTTTCTTAGGTTTAATACATCATTTGATCCTTGATTTTGGGTTTTTTTGTTCAAAGTCGTCCTACATTTTACAAAGTTCAATAAGACTCATATTTCGTTTAAAACGGTTCAAGTTGATCCTTTTGGCTTACGGTTAAAAACATAACGGTGCAATGATGTGGCAACTGTGACCTGTCCAATTTTTTATTACGTGGCAATTGTGATTCTGCACTCTGACTCGCAGCTACCCATGGTGGCACAATGCGTTTGATCAATGATGAACGAAGAAGAAGCTCTTGTTCTGGGCTTTTGCTCTTTGCAAAGAAGACGAAGATGGAGGACACACGAAGTGGCTTCTTGCACGATGCATGGAGGCGCATTGTTTCTGCATTTATGGGTTGTGCAATTTGCAGGTTAATGTCCATGGATGCTGCTTGCGAACTAGGGTTTCTGCGATTTGGGTAGCGATTATGCGTGTTTATGGTTTACTGTAGGTGTGAATTGAGATTTTAGGTGTCGTGATTGTGATTTTCTTGTTCATGTTTGATTTGGAATTTCTGGTTTGCAGGTTAGGGATTTCGATTTGGTTCTTGTTTGATGGTGGTGAGGTGCGACACATGGTGGAGATTTTGTCCTAATTAGTGGCGACGCGTTTTAGGGTTTCATGGTGGCTAGGGTTTTGTTGGAATTAGGCGATTTGGGTTTGATTTTTGGGTTTTATGTTGCTTTGCTTCGAATTGTAAGTCTGTGTTGATGGTGATACAGTGGCATGGTTGCATGAGGATTTGGTGACAACTAGGGTTTCAAAGTGGCAGCACAAGGGTTCTGTCCTTAGGGAAATTAGGGTTTCACAGTATTGCCACATCAATTAGTTCACATTGCCACGTAATAAAAAAGTTGGGCAGATCAGTGTTGTCACATCATTGCACCGTCATAAGCCAAAATGACCATTTTGAACTGTTTTTAACGAAAAATAGGACCTTAATGAACTTTTTTAAAAGATAAAACAACTTTGACCAAAAAAACTCTAGAGACCAAATGTATTAAACATTTTCCTTATTTATTCATCAAGGCATTATTGCCCGATAAAATAATTTCAATGATGATTGTGAATCAAAAATATATCCAGTGACAACTTTTTCTCACGTGTGAGCAAAAGTAAACATTAAAAACTTCAATCTTCCAACGGTACACATTTCAAAATCAACATCATTTTTAAGGGTTCATTGCTAAACTGAACAAGGTTCCTTGCAGTTCAACCCTACCCACCACCGGTCTTCTGTAAATTAATATCATCCAAATCGTTGTCATGGAAAGCACATTGTGGCTTCATGAAACGGTGTAAGAGCAGAGTGTTTTTCAACAAATGCACAATCTGGTTCAAAAACCAGAAAAAAGATCATTGTTTACATGCCTATAAAGAAAAGTTATGAACATCGCTGTTAAAAGACGATGTGATCACTAGTAAAACACAAATTGAATCATGGATCCATAGCAGAATGTAACTGATAATGACTATTATATAATCCACGAAGCCCACAAGAGTACACGAGAGGTACACCAACACAAATCGAAGAAACACCATGTCCACAACACATTCAAATAAAATTGAAACCACGTTAAGATTCTCCACAAAAAGAGAATTCCATCAGTTGGGTCTTCACAATATCACCCATATTCCAACAAAATAAAAATCTATATAACATTGTATTCCCACTTTCGGATTTGCAAAGGAAGTGTTCATTTGACAAGCATGCTTTGCTGAGCCTGGTTCTCCTGCTGCTGCTGATAATTCAAAGGCCTCCTGAAAAGCATTATGTGTGGCTCAGGGCGATGAATGGCGTAATGAACCCAACCACGGCTCTGCTGAACCCCAATTGCACGCCACTCATTCTGTAATTACATTAAACAAAAAAACTTAGACAACCTAAGATAAACAAAACAGAAATGGCCCTTGCACCACAAAAGTTGCATAAGAAAACCACAATATCCAATTGCTCGCCACTCATTCTCTAATAACATTAAACCAAAAAACTTAGACAACCCAAGATAAAAACAAAACAGAAATGGCCCTTGCACCACAAAAGTTGCATAAGAAAACCATAATACATGAAAATCACGTAATCAACTTTCAATCAGATAACAGATCACAG